AACTTCTTTGTTTCTCAGCAGATAAACTTATTTTGCATCCTTTGCCCACTTACAAGCCGTAGAAGCAGTTGTGAAAAAAAAGTTTTGATGTAGAGAGCAGGCTGTTTAAAACCTTTTGAAGTCATTATCACAAAAAGCTGTGGTTTGTCTGTCCTTCCAGCTGTACTTTCAATAAAAGTATTTAGATGTTAAGCAAAATCAGCCAAAATCAGATCACAGGAAGGTGCATTTGCTTTATGTTACTATGCAAACATTTTGTTTGTGTAGAATATTGAAATAATTTTAAGTAAATAGTCTAATAAATATGAAGTTTACAAAAACTGTTTGGGAAAGTAATTTGTCCCCTTGTAGCCAAGAATTTTTAAAATTAACTGAAATAGACAGCAAAAATTGTATTTTAAGAATTATTGTTTCTAGTTACCTGGAAACAGAGCATGTTTTCCTTCTGCTATGGCAACAAGAACATGTGAAGTACAGTACCCCAATAACTTGGAGTTCTGCCATGAAATAGATGAAGAACTACAAGCCCAGTATGAGGGTGCTGTCTTTCTCACTGTTTGCAGCTTTCAGTCTGAATTGTAAAATAATTTTGAGTGTTTCTCCAGAGCTCTGACCCACACAGCAAATGGAAAGCGGCTTTAAAGATACATAGAGGCCATCATACATGCTAAATCCAGTGTTGAGAGTGAGTGTGCTGGATTAGAAAGCGATAGTTGCCAGCAGCAGTAACAGAATACTTCTGTACTTAAAAAATGCTTGGATTCGTTCAGACTTCCTGTTGAATCCTTTAATTCATTTCTTGGGTGTCTCATCTCTGACATGAGTCAGCTCCAATTTTCTTTGTTTTGAGATTTTTCACATTTGTTTTAGATCATTTTACAAGTCCTCATTAAGTATTTCTTCTTTTTTGAGATTATTTGGCTGTTTTTTAATCATGTTTTGAAGTTGCAGGCATGTATTTTGCATTGATTTGTAGCTATTACTTCTCTTGTTGAATGCAGATGTTAGACTTGGGATGGCTGACATATCTTAGAGGCAGTTTGTTTCTAAGGTATGTATTTAAGGGGCTGAGGGATGCTAAAGGATGATAATAGAGTCAGTTCCCTGTCGTCTCTGGTGGTAGGTTTCTGGAATGGTAAACTGCGTGCAACAGCCCTTGCAGTGCCAACACAAGTTGACACGGGTGTGCAGAGCATGGCCTGTGGCCTAGCAGGACCCGACAGCTGAGCCCACTTGCCAACTCTGAAGTCCAGCACTGCAGCTTCCCTTTCCAGGAGGGCCCCTTGGAGCCTGCTCCTCTTCACCTGCCCAAAGAAGCTGGTATTGCAGGGGGATGGAATGGGGGAATCCATGGGAGGGGTATTGTAGCGTTGGGATGAGAGATGTGGGATGCAGAGCTGGGAGAAGGGTTGCTGTTGGGAAGAGGAGAAGGTGAAGATACAGAGCTGAGGCAGGCAGGGGAGGGTTTGTTAGGCAGGTTGCGGCGCTGCATGAACATGACTGTACTGCTTCAGAGATGGGGCAATTCCCAAACTGTAATGAAGCTTTGGTAGGACACAAGGTTGTAACTAACTATTTTGTCTGCCCAGAGCTGGCTCTGCAGAGTTTACAAACTTGTGCAAGGTACTCACAGCCAAGAAGCTGCTTTATCTCTGTGCACCATTTAAATTACAGAGTGCACAAGGCTTCAGCAGTGCACCTGGTCTGGTGGGTGTGTCAAATCCATCCTGGGGCTTCAGCCTCCTCTCTGCCGTCCCTGGGCAGAACAACACTTCTGCTGGCCAGCCCAGGACATGTGATCTTGGCAACCAAGGTGCCCAGCAGCACCTTGGGTAATGACTATCCATTCTCAACTGTTGGCTAAAATTAGAGTATATGTAAATGTTTCTCAACTGACGTGTGTAGGCAGATGTATTTTAAATCATGTAAACTATTGTCCAGGCTGTAACTCCACCATGTGAACCCACAAATGAAAACAAATGGGTTGAGTGTATTAACAATTTGACCTTTTTACTAAAATGAGCTTGCTCTACTGTTTTCAGAAAGCCAGCTGGATGGTTACTCTCTGCTGTAAGTTCTTCACATTGTCACAGGCTTCTCAGCTCGCAGTGTTGCTCAAATTCATTCAGAGGGAGTTGTTTTTCATACCTCTTAGCATGGTAGGTGCTTTATTGTATGGTAGAGGTAATTCAGAGGCAAAGTCTACCCATTATTCTAGATAAATGCATATGTGCATGTGTAAAGATCTATAATGTATTATATAGAAGCAATAAGTGAAATGTGGTATGTATCACACTAAAAATTTGGCTTCAAGAGTGATAAATGGCATCAATTGAAAACACACGTGGTATCTTTTGTGTCTAGAAATAAACACCACAGTGTTCCGCCCGCTGGAATGCAGTATAACTCACATATGTATATACTGTAATGATAAAGAAAGTACTGCTGGAGTGCTGGTTGAAGACGAGAAAATTCAGAACTTCATCAGGTCTTTCCCATAGCTCAGATACCTTCATCTAAAACAAACAAAAAAAGTATTTACGAGACAGTCTTTCACATAAAATAAAAAAAAAAAATAATTTTCCTTAACTCTTTTGCTGTGTGCAATACTTTGAGGTAAGGACTAGTGTAAACTGTGAAAAGGACAGCCTGTAAATAAATGGCCCACATTGCTTTCCTAGGAGTCTAGAAGGATGACAGAGCGACGTCTCATTAGCTCTGTGGTTACCTGTGTGCAGTACTCAGGTATTTGGGACTGGAGCGTCAGCTCCGTGTTGCCCTCAGCCTGTCGGAGCCGGGGTGTCTGCCTGGGGAAGGTCATTGCATCTGATCGATGACCAGAGGCTCTGAGCAGCCTCACGGAGGACCAGAGTAGGTGGCTAAAGCTTAAAAAACTCTTGTTCTCTGTCTACTAGTGGTCTTTCATAGAATCATAGAATATCCTGAGTTGGAAGGGACCCATCAGGGTCATAGAGTCCAACTCCTGGCCCTGCACAGGACACTCTGAGAATCACACCATGTGCCTGAGAGCACTGTGCCTACATGTTTCCGATTGTTTTCCAGTGTGTTCCTCAAAAAATGCTGATCAGGTCAAGCACACCGAATTTTAAACCTCTCTGCTGCCTTTTGCAGTAGGTCTCAAATCTTGATGTCAGGAGAAGGCTTTTTCTTCTGGTCTTGCTGCAACTAATGTTTGGGGTTTTATTCGCTTTCTGTTGTTTCTGTTTTTCTTTGTGCTTTGGGGTTTTTTTTTTCCTCTTCTGCCTTTATTTTGAACTTTCCCCACAGAGGTTTGCAATAACAAATACAAGAAGGCAGTTGGAACGTTGTTACTTCAGTGCGTTGCTCTTCAAGCCTTGATGTGTCAGAATTGGTCCTGCTTGTGCATATGTATAGACATCTGGTTATTTAGTTCCTGCTTTTGGTAGAAAAGCGAGGGCTCTGTACTCCAGGATGTAAATAATATGCATTTGTTTGAATTCAAATTTCATTGTGTTAAAATCTTTCTGATATAGCTATCAGCAAACATTTGTATTTAATGTTACTTGTTTTACTATGCTGCAAAAGTCAAGTTAAATACAACTTCCTATATCCTTCTTGCATTAACAAATTTGCATGGCCTCTTCTCTCGACCTTTCTCCAAATACCGTACTGTTTAGGAAATTGTTTAAACCTAAAAGTGTCTCAAAATAGAGCTACTTTCTTGTTATTTGTCAACATGAAGTAGCAGAAGCAAGTTCGTGTGCTAGCAACACCAGTGTTGCCATTTCTTGTCTTTCAAATACTTTGCTGTGCAAACATTATTGCCATGGACATTGTACAACACCATGCTTGAGATGAGTCATGTATGTTACAGTACATAAGGCTTAATGGATTACTTTTCCATTGCTCATTTTAAAATTAAAACCACCAGCTTCCTGTTTTTCTTGTCCTGAAGTCCTGTCTAACTGAGCTCTTATAATTTCTAAAATAGCCTGTCAAAAAAGGAATTCAGTAAAGTGACTAAAAAGTGACTTCTACTTAACCTTTGATTTTATAAACAATTGGCTGAGTCCTAAATAGATGAAAACAGTCTATTTTTGGGCCCTAATTTAGAGAATTGATATTTCCACATTTGCTTTGTCATAGCTGGTAGTAGTTGCTAAATTGTGAAAGCTTGTAGCTATTACAAATGCTTGGAGGATTGCTGAGTGTTCTGCCGTAATGCATTAAGAAGCTCAGTGTACTGTACATTTCAATTTATAATAAGGGATGTAGCTGATAGCACAGACACTGAAATATTTCAAGTCTAGACTACTGCCTTGAAAACCAAAGGCTGTTGGCTTTTTGGTGCAGTTAAGTTGGAAAATAACTGATAAGGACAGTTGAAGTACGTCAGACTTCAAAAAGTGATGAGTTCTCTAAGCCAGGGTGGATCGGGAGGCTTCAACCACTGCTTGCCTGCCCTGTTGGGATGAAAAGGGAACTGGCATTTGAAATGGCTGGTCACGCTCAGCAGGCTTGAGTGGTTTGTGATGGAGGTCACACGTAGACCCTTGTTAGGTGGGGAAGATGACTTTCTGCAACCCTGTGTTTAGCAAAGTTTCCTGTCTGCAGAAAATGGTAACATTAGTGCTTCACCAATGACAAAGATGATGGCTGAAAAGTTTAATGTAGCTGGTGTTCTCTTATATAGCTCTTTTGTACCTTTGGATGATAAAAATAACTTGCTGAGAATTTTTGAGTGTAACTGCATATTGTAATAAGTGGAGGAAATTATGATGTAGCCGATACTTTTATGGCCCCTTTAATATCCCAATTCACCTTACAAATCACTGTGTTTATGAAGTCCTTTTCTTGCTGCTGCCTGTGAAGTAGAACATTTTGATTGTGTTTACTGTCATCATGTGTTGTTAGCTGTGGAAAAAAGGGAGAATATTACCTCAAACTGGGCTTACAGACTTCAAGAATTATGTAATTTCAATTTGTCTCTCTAACATAATGCCAACTTTCTTTTTCAGAGCCATGGTGTCATGGAAAGGGATATACTTTGTACTTGCACTATTCTTGGGAAGTTTCTTTGGGAGTATATTCATGCTTGGTCCTTTTCTACCTTTGATGTTCATCTCGCCGGCCTGGTATCGCTGGATCACCGACTGCATCGTGGCCACTTGGCTCACGCTCCCAGTGGTAAGTTGCAGTTTGAACCAAGTTCTGGGCAATTGTCTGTAATCCCACAATTTAATTTGCCCACTAACACTTTTGATTTTTTTTTTTTTATTTAAGTTATTTATGCTTTCGTCGAAACTGGCCCTAACACACTTACTATCTGTGGAAACTTGGGTTTTAACTCAGAGTTGCAAACTGTGTGCCTGTTTACAGCCCCTCTCTTCTTCCACGGTTTAATTTATATGTAACCTAATGCTGTGTCTTAATTTTATGCTTGAAAAGACCTTTTTGTGACATCTTCATCCAGTGTCACTCAGATGCAGAGAAGAGTAGGTAAAATACTAGTAAACAGAAGGATTTTTTTTTTTTTTTTTTAATTGCAAACTTCTTAAGTGAGTCGTCTTGTAAACTCCTTCTTTGGACTTTACTCCAATTATCTCATTAGGAAAATTATCCACTGTTTTGTACACTGTTGCCAACCAAGTAACATTCTGTTACTTAATCCTCTTAGAATTTAGTCCTTGTAGTTGAATTAGAGGTAAATGATTTCAACTGAAAAAGAGCTTCACCTTTATCAACTTCATAACTATATGAGTTTGGAAATCAATAACAAAGCTTTTCCCTGAATTGTTCCAGAGGAAAGGCGGTATGAATAGGAGAGTATCTTTCTTCGTCTGTTCTCTAAGAGCCAAGGGACTTTTTTCCTCTAGACCATTGAAGATTTATTTCACTTTCTGAAGTAAAATGCCATATTGGCATGCAGAAGTATGTATCTTGTGGCGTAAAAGAAGTTTAATCTTTATTACATATCAGAAAAGGAGTCTCAAAAAGATTTTGCACCCAACCTTTTTGAGGCTCTGACCTTGTCTGCTTTAGTTTTCTGTCCTTACACTTACTCCATTCTTAGTCAGGAAAAGCAGGTTTTTGGTTTGTGTCTCCAAACAATAAAGTGCTGTTGTACCAGTTGGACTCCAGCAGGGAAACTCTGACCCTGACCTCTGTGATGTAAGAAATTTCCACCTTCCTCACTCTGCTATCACATTTTATTTCCTTTCTAGGAGAGTCAGCAGGACGGGACAGTGAGGTGGGTGCTAACTGTTCCAGTTTAGTTTGGCTTATATTAGGGTTAGAGTATGTAGAACGGGGCACCCACTCATTATTATGTTTAACTGGATGTTAAATATGTAATATGATTCTTAATAAACTACCCAAAAAAGGCTACTTTTTTTCTTTCTGCAAAGAAGATATCTTTGCCATTTCGAGCTATACTGCCTGTACCACTCTTGGAGGGGCCCATAGTTACTCTTGATAGCAACACCTTTTCTGGAATAATAATGAACTGACTTATTAATAGTATTAATACTTGGCAAATATAATGCTTTTCATTCTCAAGCCATTTGCAATTGTGAGAATGTCATTCTAGTTTTACAGGCGACTTAACCTGAGAAACTTGTGTTCTTTGGCACGGAGTTGGCAGAAATATGAACAAAACAGAGAGTTGGTTTACTTTATAGAGCTCTGTTTAAATCCCCAATCTTTGTTCTTTTTCTATACTTTTTTAGAGGAAGAATGGGGACGATAAGGTAAGGAGGTAATTTGAAGTGCTTTTTACGTTAGGGCCAAAGGGTAAGTTTGTTCCTCCATATGTCCAATTGTGTTTTGCTGGTTTGTTTTTCTGTGCTAACTGGGTTGGACAGTGTCCTGCCAGTGACCCTGACCTTAGGGGACTCAAGTCAAACCTCTAGGTAATGTCTGTTGTCTGCATCTGTTTCTTGGGATTTTGTACCTTTCCACTGTGTTTCCACTGGGCATTAAAAGGTTGCAGGTTCAGTCATCCATATTTTTTAATTCTTTGCCTAGTCCTGGTCTTTTGCTGTAACCAACCAGCACTCCCCCACATACTTCCCTGTATGATTTGGGAATGGTCATGGGTCAGAAACTGTTTTCAGTAGGCAATTTGGGTATGGTGTGGATGTGGCCAGAGCATGCTGTTGGGCTCCACAGTTGTACTTACTACAACTAGTCTGGTTATGTGCTTATGGTCTGACTGTCCAGGTTATGAAACCAGGCCCTGTTAAACTAACTGTGTAGCTCTTGCCTGCTCTTTCCCTCTGATAAACCACTGACCTCTGCTTGACCCTTCACAGCCATATACAGCAGGTAAAGCAAGAAACATGCTTTTTGCATGACCTTCTGGCATCGCTGGCTGTTTAGGCAAAATGGAGACAGCTGTTTGCCCAGGCTCATGTCTATGTCCTTCCAAGTTTGAGGCTTATTCTGTGCTTTGGGAGTAAAACATGTTGACTATTTGCTCCCAAGCAGAAAGCAAGGCAGCTTTTGATGCCGTCGCAACCCCAACAATATTGAGCAATAGATTATTTGTGCAGCCAGTCTCTCCTTAGATTACCTGGCAAGTTATAATCCATACTGACTCACATTCTTATGTGATAGTATTCTTGGAAAAACAGGGAACGGTAAGTTTAGTGCAATGATTGTAATGGAGTGCTTTTTAAGAAGTGCTGTTTAATTGTTGTTTCCTCTTCCATTAAACAGCTATTACTGTGGGAAAGCTGGCTGCTTTATTAGAAAACAGAAGTTTGTTTACCAGTGGTGATAGGAGTGAATAAGTGAAATGATACAATTCAAATTAATTTGTATTGCTAATGGGCTGATGCTTTTCTTCTGTGAGTAAAGCCATAACACAGAGATAATATTTCTAGGCCTTGCTGGAAATGGTGTTTGGTGCCAAGGTGGTTGTCACTGGAGACGGATTCGTTCCTGGAGAAAGGAGTGTCATTATCATGAACCATCGCACACGAATGGACTGGATGTTCCTGTGGAACTGCCTGCTGCGATACAGCTACCTCAGACTTGAAAAAATCTGTCTCAAATCCAGTCTCAAAAGCATTCCGGGATTTGGTATGTCACTAAACCCTTTAATTTGAAAGGAAAATATGTTTCAGTGATGCCCAGCACTGTTCATAACCTGTTAAATGACGTAGGTTTAAATTCTGTTTCAGTATTTTAAAACACACTTGTGTTAAATATGTGACATGTTGAGCGATTAAACCTTAAATCTCCAGAGGATGCTTGGACTACGTGCTTAAGCTTTTCTTTTTTAAGATACTACATGTGCTTCTGTTGTTGCTTGTAGGTAAAAACATTTCTGCTTTAAGTACTGAAAGCGTTTTTCGAAATGATGAAAAATTATTTACCAGTCTTTTAAAAGTCTCTTTCAACACTGTGTTTTTTGTGCTATTTCACCCCACGTTGCACATGCTCTCATCAAGCTTCTTTCTTCATTATCCAGTGTATACTATTGTGAAGATGAACAAAAAGAGTTCTGTAGGCAATTGCAAAGTTACTGGTTGATTTTAATAACTAGTTTCAAATTGAACTTGGCTATGCAAAATATGCTGCACAGGATATGAAATAATCAGGATTTATAGTGATGTAGGCTGGAAGCAGGTCTGAGTTGCACGTACTCAGAGAAAGTGTTTCAGATAGGCCAAAGATTGTCGTGCAAATGGTTTCTGAATAAATAGGCAGACTTATCTGAAATAAAAACATCTCTGCATTTTATTTATCTCTTAGATTTATTTGCTGTTTTATACAAAACTAGCTTGGGCAGGATATGCGTCAACTTTATGATGCTGAAAGAGTAACCTTATTTATGGTTCCCTTTTGTCAGACCATTTATCTGAACAAATAATTTTGGCAGGATTCCATACTGAGGAGCTCTCATACTGTTGCACTGTATTGCATTCACTTGCTGGGCCTTTAGTAAGAGCTGCAACTAGGTAATGTTTTTTTTTTTTTCCTCCCTAGTGGCCACACATTAAGGTCAATTTTACTTGACAAAAGACCTCTCTCTTAACGTGACAGGAAATGAGAAAATACATATTTAGATAAATGTTTTATCTTCGTAACACGTTTTGAAATCTTGGAATCAGCTGAGTTTGCAACTTTTTAAAGCAATAATGGAAGATGAAGTCAGTAGTATAGTACAGAAGATTGTAGATTTGCCTCTTCAAAAGCAGCATATATTTTGTTATTAACAAAACATTTGTATGTATGCTTGTTAATGCCTTTAATAAAATTGGAAGGTTAGCTCCAATAGCCTGGATGCTAAGTTATACTTGGCAAAATTTGATTCCTGAAAGAGTATTAGGAGTTTTTAGAGGCTGATTTTTTTTTTGTTAAATTTGTTTTCAAATTCCATTCTCAGTGGAAAAAAATTTCTGGTCATAAAGCAGAGTGGATGTCTGGATCTGTAGTGCTATAACCCACTACTTTTAATGCCAGATCCCCAGGTGCTCTCTGCAATAGATAGGCTTTGAGGACTTTGGTTGTAATCTTGTGAATTATAACTTATTTTTCAGTACACTGTTAATGTTGTGTTTTTAATCACAGGAAGGGAATTCAGCTAAACTTACGTCCTTCACTCAAACCATGATTTGATGCTCTAAAATTATGAAAGATAAACTTCTGTTTTATCATAGTGTATCTAAAAGGAGGACTTAGAAATACATGTCTCTGTGTTCAGTCAGGTTGTTTTGACTGGCAGTTCCTTGCAAAAATAAAAGTATTCTGTATAGCCACATAATTAGGGGACCATTGCAAAGTGAGACTCTTGGATTAACTGAAGAATGATGGAAAAAGATCAATCTGTAAAGTTTGTTGGGGCAGTATCACTGCAGAAAATGGTGTCTAAAGAGGACAATCCTGAATCTCAGCAGTAACAGTAGAATTTCTCTTACCACTCTCAGCTCTACTGAGTTATTTACACCTTTAATAAGTGTTTGTCAGGTTTTGGGTTGGGTTTTTAGATTGTGTCCTGTGGTTTTTACCTAGAAGTTTTATTTTATGAGCTTGTAAAAGTGAGAAGATCACTTGGAAATCAACCAGACAGTTTCAGTGCACTGCATGTGTAATCAATACTTTTAGATGTTGATCATTTAAGACATAATATCAGTGGAAATTCAGCCAGCTATTTTCATCATGTCTTTCAGTTTTATCTTTTCATGCATTTGTCTAAACATAAATTTTAATAAATCTTAACCTAATGGTAATTTTGCTTCAGAAATGTTTGAATGAATATAATGCATTGCTTTCAGTGCATTTGTTTCTGATCTTTCAAAGGCTTTTTTAAAGAATTTAATTTAAAATTGTGTATAAGATAAGGTTTATATTGCAAGCCTTCTGTTTCCATGTTTCTGAAAACCTTGACAGTATTCAGCATAGCACTTTTGTTATTGTAAGTAGTTTCCCATTTGGGGTGTAAAAATAGGTCTGTGAGAGGTTAGGATCCTTCAAGTGGCATATAAGGTACGTGAAGGGCAAAGCTGGTAATGGAAATAGATCCAGAGTTCTTGTTGCCCCCTTTGTAGGTTAAAAGTTTAAAGATATCAGATTTAATGAGTCTGTATTACAAGTAGGCAGTTATTTTCTAGTTAATTATAATTAAAATCAGAGGATTCAGTATTTCAAGGAGACACATTGAGTCATGTATCCAGTTCTTAAGTTATTAAGTCTTCGCATTCCAGTGTATGAAAAAAACCTTAAAACTGATTAAAGGTGAGCTTTAGAAAAAGAAGGCCAAAGAAAAACAGATGGTCTGTTCTTCCTGGAACCGCAGCTTTGGCTTGATGAATTGTGTGCAGTAAAGTTTTCAAAAAGAGATATTACATTTCAGTAATCTCAATTTCAGAAACATTCTTGCAGCATTTCAGTACATCTTGCCAAAGCTGGCATCTCGAGGGAGCACTACTCTGCTCTTAGCTGTTGCTGCAGTTTCTCATCTGACATCATCAGAAAGTACTGACACATTCTGCGGTATCAGTTTTCAAGGAGAATTTCTAATGGCATTGACAGTTTCCTGCATAGTCTGACATGATAGGACTTCTCTACAGTACTTGTAATAGATATGAACAATTAATATTCTCATCTATTCTCAATTAATAAGGAGTTATGTTGGAAGTGATACAGGTTATGGTACAGTTGTGTTCAGAATGTGTCATGGAGTACATACTGTTCAAGTGGGTACCAAGGGACATACACAGTAATGTCAGATAACCATGTAATGACTAGAAGATAGTTTTAATTCTTTTCTTAATAGTTTCATTTGTGAAAGTCTTGTGATAACCAATAAGACTTCACTGGAAATAGGTATATATTTTAATGATGGACAATTCAAATATGTTGGGTGGGCTTACAGTAATATTTGGATTATAGTAGTTAAAAGTGCCTCAACAAGAATGTGAAAAATAAATCAGAATTTGGGTTTCTCTCAGAATAACTGAGAGAAAACTGAAATAGAGTAAGGGGTTAGTGTCAGTTCTACATGAGGTAATAGTAATCCTAGTTTTGCTTAATGCAGATGGAAAAGAGGAATACCATCATAATTCAGTGTACAAATGTAAAGTATGCAGGTGCTACAGGCACCATTGATGGACATATCTTGTAGACTTACCTATTTTGAAAAGGCTCACTGAGACTACTAAAGCAGGGCATTGTAGTTGAAGCAGACTGGGATGGGAACAGAAAAGGAAAGGACAAGGTGATGAAGGAAAAAGAGGAGAATAAGCAAAGCTGACAAACTCGGAGTAGTTAGAAGCAGAGATAAATGAGTAACTCTGTCCAGATCTTCATCTCTGTATTCAAGTTACTCTGTGGCTAACATTGCTCTCAAAGAAGACTGCAAGATGTAGGAGCTTTTTAGTTTTTGTTTTTCATTCATCTTTTCACTCGTGTGTTGTAGCTCTCGAAGGCTCAAGTTAGGTTTGGCCCTTGTATTAAGTGCTGGGGGGGAAAGAAAAAAGGAGTTTTGCTCCATTTTAACACTGAGCTTAGCCCCACCAATCTTTTACTACACGTCAGTTGATCCATTGTAGCTGTCCAAGTGTGCGAGCTTCCCCTGAAGCAAGCTCAAAGTAATTTGAGTCGTCTTAGTTTTCAATGAAGCAGGGCAAAACAACTCCAATTATCCTGCCTTTGCCACGGGCTAAGAGCATGCACACCGACAGCTATGATGGATCAGCTACCATGAAGTAAAATATTGTTGTCACTAAGCCTAGAAAATTTTAACACTTATCTCAATTGGAATATAGCTAAAGCAGCATGCTGCAGAGAATCTGTACACATTTATATTAGCATGGAAGTGTTTGTGCTGTCACAGCTACTGCCACAGGTAGGGATAGAAATGCTTCAGCATAAAGCATCTTTGTTCACATTATGGTTGGATTTGCATTTGAATTCTTACCAGTAGAGTATATTTGTTTAAAAAATTAAAACTGTAACCTACTGAACTTTCTAGTGTAGCTCATGTGGCAAGTACATTACATTACAGTAGGCTGAAATGAGAGTTTTGAGAAGCTGTGATGTCTTCTAGCAATTCAATTGTGAGCTGTCAGACTTAATTGCCATAGAGTTGTTATCCTGCGTGATTTTTAAAGTAGAAGTTGTAAAAGTATGCTCTCTAATGGAAAACAAAATTGTTATTCCACCACTTATTCCTGCTGAAGATTCTCTTGAAGACTCTCTTGAAGAAGTTTTAAGTGTGAAAGAAGGATTATTACTCTGAAGCACAAATGTGGCTTAAGTTGGCTGTAACTTTACATGCCTTTGGTTTTTTTTTTTTTTGGAGGGAAGAAAAGACTTAGGTGTCTATTTCCCTGCTTGTCTCTTCTAGAAAAGGCATAATAGGTTTCTCCCAACTCTGTCAGGGGAAAATAAATAAAAAAATACAGCCAAAACTCAACTAGCCTGTGTTCCATTAAACTTTCCTTATCCTTTCTATATTATAAGGACTTCATTTTCTCTACACACCTTTGCCTCTCCAAAATACACATCAAAAGAGTGAGATCAGATGCTAACCTCTCTCATTCTCCCCATTTTGTAAACTACAAGTGATGGAGAGT